ATACGACTTCTGGTTGTCTGGGTAGTCAACATAAAAAGTATAACATGGCTGGTTTCCATGGTAACACATGCGCATGCATACGTTGACAGCCTGGGCCCGCGCTTATGATGACTACTACCAGTTGTTGCTTGTAGAGATAGTCCCGTGGATGTAATACGTTCGATCGTCGGTTTGATGGAACTGGGAGCTCGTCCACGCATACTAAAACCACTATCAGATAGGAGCCAAGAAATGCCAAGTCTGCTAACTGGGCTACTGTTAGTGACTGATTGAAGATATGCTTGTGCAGCTCTTTAAATATCAGGTTTTGCTACTGAAATAAATATTCTTTCCAAGTGGTTAGGTATCAATGAAGAATAAGATGGTACCTAAGGCTGCAATTAGGTACCAGACATTCAGTGGCTTGATTTTCGACGCTTGTTGTGTAGTCTGATTGAAAAACTTTTACTTGCCTCTCCGGTTACCGGTTGGGTTTTTCGTTCAAAATATTTTCAAGATTGGACACGCACGAATAACATCTCAAAAGGGCGAAAATTCTTCAAATTATTCGATAAGTGAATTTTAACCTAAGAGTATCTCGAAAATAACAACTTTGGGCCATTAAACCATTGCAAGCTTTTGTGTTGCACATTTAATGTGTTTTAATATTAACACTATTTAAAACATATTCTATAACTGTAGGTAGTATTTTGGAAAATATTACTTTTTTCAATAATTCATAACGTTTTTGTTTATGAATATCCCAGCAAAGACACATTGTCAGTAGTTAGCACTTTATCTAAAATACAATATAAATTGTAAAATTTGAGTATTTTTTAATATATGGAGGCGAACCAGCCCAAGGCTGAAAGCCTCCCTAATAAAGATAAATTCATTAATTATTTTTTAATATGTTTGATAATTTTGGTTTTTTTATTAATTTTTTTTTTTTTTACAATGTATAGCTTTTCTTGAAAGGCACAATACTTGTCCGCAACTTTTTTGAAAACACCGGCATGTGACACTCACACTCGCATATCACTTTTAGGTGTCTGTAGAACCTGTTCAAATATTACGCAATATCATAATTAGCTAAGTTTTAACACCCTAACATCTCTCCTTGTCACAATTCACAATTTAATAAGTATCTCCTTCCTCCTGTAACGCGTAGCCCATTTAATCACTGATTGGTTTGAAACAGTTTACTTTTGAAATTTTTCAAACTTATGTGAAAATGGAGGGTCAATCAACGGTAGCCTAACTTTAAATTTGTCTAATTTCTGGTAGTCTCGGACCCTCGGCCCTCTTTCCCCTTTTCGTAACAATTCGTAATTTATATCGTAATATTTGAGGAGGCCCTTTACTGTGTAACCTATGAACTGAATTATCGAGGTGGAGCAACAAATAGCGAATTCGTTTATTATAGGGTGTGAACCCGAACTTTTTGTCAGGTCGAACCTCAACCTGAGGAATGTTTTAAAAACAAACGATCAAACTGACGTTTGTCAGAAAACAAGCAGACCCAATCTTGATATCCGATTCAGGATGGAACTGAATAATAAACGAATTCGCTAAAAGATTTTCACGTCCAGTTGTATTGTTGTGTTGCATTTGAGTGTGGTAGTCTAAATCCAAGGAAAATACATAACACATCGCTGTAAAACTCATTTTGACAGACAATGGTACACAACGCATCCCCTAGGCAGAACGCACCAGCTCACTTTTATTTGTGTTTTTCACGGCTTCTTCGTAACTTTTTTGATGTCTTAACAAGCAGCACTTCTAGCATAGCAACTGAACTCGAAATACTGCATGATAAATCCTAGAATTGGATTTAAAATGCCAAGAAAAACTCAAAATAAAATGAAAAAGTGTGTTCTACCCGAGGGTGCGTTATGTACCATTCTCCCCTAGTTCCATAAATTTTGATGTTAGTACCCGAGGAAAATAATTTATTATTATTATTTTATTTATTATTTTTTTTAATTTTTTTTTCTTCATTATGCTTTCCGTTCTTTGAACAATTTGACTAAGGTATTTGACACTTTTTGTGACCTGGATTTTAAATACCGATGGACATCGATTTTCGGCTTGTATACGTCGCTCACGTTCTGAAAATACCAATATTGTAGGGTATTTGCCACTCTTTCTAAACCCAATGAAAAACACATTTGATTTCAAAATGGCGTTGGATATCAATTTCTGGCCTCTGGACATCACCCCGATTCCAAAAATACCCATATTGATGGGTATTTGACAGTATTTCCCACTTTTATGAAACTGGAAGCCGCCATCTTGAATTCCAAAATGTCGTCGGATATCAATTTTCGGCCTCTGGACATCACCCCGATTCCAAAAATACCCATATTGATGGATATTTGACAGTATTTCCCACTTTTATGAAACTGGAAGCTTCCATCTTGAATTCCAAAATGGTGTCAGATATCAATTTCCGGCCTCTGAACATCACCCCGACTCCTAAAATACCCATATTGATGGGTATTTGACAGTATTTTCCACCTTCTATCAAACCGGAAGCCGCCGTATTGGATTTCAAAATGTCGTCGGATATCAATTTTCGGCCTTTGGACATCACCCCGATTCCAAAAATACCCATATTGATGGGTATTTGACAGTATTTCCCACTTTTATGAAACCGGAAGCCGCCATCTTGGATTTCAAAATGGCGTTAGATATCGATTTCCGGCCTCTGGACATCATCCCGGTTCTAAAAATACCCATATTGATGGGTTTGACAGTATTTTCCACCTTCTATCAAACCGGAAGCCGCCATATTGGATTTCAAAATGTCGTCGGATATCAATTTTCGGCCTCTGGACATCACCCCGATTCCAAAAATACCCATGTTAATGGGTATTTGACAGTATTTCCCACTTTTATGAAACCGGAAGCCGCCATCTTGGATTTCAAAATGGCGTTAGATATCGATTTCCGGCCTCTGGACATCATCCCGGTTCTAAAAATACCCATATTGATGGGTTTGACAGTATTTTCCACCTTCTATCAAACCGGAAGCCGCCATATTGGATTTCAAAATGTCGTCGGATATCAATTTTCGGCCTCTGGACATCACCCCGATTCCAAAAATACCCATGTTAATGGGTATTTGACAGTATTTCCCACTTTTATGAAACCGGAAGCCGCCATCTTGGATTTCAAAATGGCGTTAGATATCGATTTCCGGCCTCTGGACATCATCCCGGTTCTAAAAATACCCATTTTTAGGAGTTCATTTTTGATATCAAACATCCCTATTCTAAACATAAACTGTTCGGAGTACTCCGGATACTATCCGGAAGGAAAAATAATGGATATTATCCCTATCCACTTTTTCTTTCCTCCGGATAATTTTAAAACTTTTCTATCCGGATAATTTTAACTTGGATATTATCCGTTTTAAAATTATCCGGATAGGGATAGGGATAATATCCAATGATAGATTGGATAATGGATAATGGATAGGGATAATTTTGATGCCTGGTCCTTTCATGACAACCTGGAACACACGTTCAGTTTTGGTGTCGTTAGTAAAAAATTTGTGCTGCTTCTCAGTAAGATACTTGAGAAGACATTCAAATCCATCCAAGGTTTCAGCCTATATGTATGTATGTAGCTATATAGCTATAGTCAGCCTATATATATGTATGTGATACAAAAACACCCATTCAAATTTACTTTCATTTTTTAAGATAATCATTGATCAAAAATTGTCCAATGTACAGTTTGAAATGATGGTTACTTGATTGTTACTTCGGTCATTCGGACTGCCTAACATGATTGGTGCTCATTTTCCAAAGGCGGGGCCAATCTAAAGTTAGGTACTATACTCTGAAATCTGTGAAAGGGAATCTAGTATCATGTAGACAAAACGTCCAATGTAACACTCATTGATTATGTTACTGAGAAAAATCGTCCAATGTAACATGTCCGATATGCAACTCGACTTGTCAAAACGTCCTATGTGGTTTTTTCTAGAGTCGGTGTATAATGAGTCACGCCAAGAGTGAAGCCAAGTCTACCTATTGAACTGTCAAACCGGCTACCTATCGTGCAAAGTAAACAAGCATTACGATGCTATGAAAGGTCCACGAAAGGTATTGCAATTAAATATTAAATATCACCGAAGAAATGATCATATACACGCAGTGAGCATTACATTTGTCATGCGATACGTTTTGTAATGATCAGTAATGACAATTTCTACTATTTTTCCTTAAGATAATTCCACAAAATCACTGATATAATGATATACTACAGCCGTTATTTTTTTCCTCGCTAGAAGTCATTTGAAGTTGATGCAGAAGTCCTCTGTTGCCAAGTTAAAAGAAAGGGAATCTTTCGAAAACCGTGATGCGAGTTCAACTGTTTTTTTCTCTTGGCGTGACTCATTATACACCGACTCTAGTTTTTTCTATGTTGTAGCATGAAATTCAAAGTAAAATTGTGATTTTACCGTTTCTTCTGAATTTTCAACGCTATTATACACTGACTACATTAACAATAGTATTCCAAATGTATTGTTTTTAAACAGTTAAAATAATAATCTGTCGAACTTCAACTTCGATTTTCTTAAAATGGTGGATATGTTACATTGGTCTATTTGAAAAGTGACGCGAGAATTCATATGAGAATAAACTGCTAGTTCTACTGTTATCTGTCAAAAGTTCTTGGTAAACTTGGTCAGCTGATCACAACTGTCTCGTGGACAGCCTTATTAGAATCGGTTTGGGAATTTCGGTTATCATTCTTTACCATACTCATGGTATTTATATTTTATCCTCAGGCGTTTCTCATCATTAGCAAAAGAGTAAAAAATATCCTTTTTTGAATCAGGATTCATCCTCTCATTCCTCTTACTACTCCAGAATATATCTACCCCTTTTACGATATTAGTTATGGCAACTGAGGATGACTTGTAAATACACTAGATACTTAGAAGATATTAAAACTGTGAATTTATGTGTCTAGTAACCACATATAAACAATTTTACTTTTTGCAGCCGTACTGGCGAGCCAACAAGCAGCAGCAGCTGTCACTGTGATAAGTCCATTCCAGGCTGGACCACCAACGAAGTAAGAGCAAAACCGAGTTAACATCTGCATGCAGTGGAAGCTAAATACGGTTTGCTTGCATCAACCCGAACATGAGGTGCAACCGAGCACATGATGATATTGACCGGACGACAGAGTCTGCCACGGGACTGAAGATGCAGCAAGAAAATAGAAGCGAAAGTGTGATAGTAAAAGTTTTTTTTCTCCGTTCAATTATTACGCGTGAACAGACGACACGTGCTTCTTTGAATGATTCCAGACGGACAATTGAGCGGAAAAACAAAAACACCGATCAGACATCGTGAAAAAATGGAGATAACTAAAATTAGTTTTGTTTTACAAGTGAGGTTTTAACTGGAGAAGAAATATTGCATTGGATAAGACTTAAAATAGAAGTGTAGCTTTAGTATCGTTAGGTTTAGCGTAGTGGTAATTTAGATGAAAAATATCTATTTTTGTACAAAAAAAAAACAAAATTTTACTGGTAGAGCAACGTCAAGGTGAATAATAGGAAATTTAAATTACTAGTTGTTAGATGATAGTGTTTGCTGAAACAATGTAAATAATGAATGTACCGTTTTGATGCTGAGACCATGGATTATCTATGAAATGACAACAGCAGAATAATTCGTTAATTTTTCAAAGTGAGAACCTTGTCAAATATCCTTTTTTGTGAAGGATTCATTGTCAAAACCCGGTAAGCATATGATATGTAAATATATTAACTTATAAAAACTAAACTTTAGCCTGCTCCTTCTTGAATGTTCCATTTTCCAGTGCTTTATTCTGCAAGTCTGCTAAAAAAAATGCATTTCTCTGTTTACGGTTTATGATTTCCGGAAACTCGGACCACAATTTGCTTTATGAACTGTGGACCATGGTAATTAATTTTTTATGGTAAGTTCCACAGCCATTTTATTGTTGTAGGAATCACAGCTCGGTAACATTCAAAAGGTTTACATGACTGATATTTACTAAAGATAGTAGATGCATTGTTGCGAGAAAAGCTACAGTAAAATGGTGAAAATCTTTAACAATAATAAGAATCAAGAAGGGATGTAGGTACCTACACATATTATTGTGAATATTGGTAAAATAAACATCAAACTTTGTGCTATGCGCTTATCGCAAAGGTAATTATTATAATCATTACAAAGGGGCGATCATAAATGCCTCGGAACGCGCCACCTTTTATAGGCAATAATGATTCTATGTAAATACTTATTTCCTATAATGTTGTGCCGTCTTGTTTCAGCTGAATTTATCGAATGATATATTTGTGAGAATAGAGGATGAGAATTATATTCTTTGCGCAAAATTGGCAATTCATTGATATGGGACGGCGGAATCTATGATGATTGCGACTTAAAAGCATGAGAAAGAAGAAATTGAAAAAAAAAACGAATTGTAAACAAAGCTTTAGGTGTGAAACTACTAATTACAGTGAGGCAACCTTATATTAAGATCGGGATTTGTTAATGAGCATGCGAGCAAGCTTTAACTGATAAACATGGGAAACTCTTCCTAAAATAAATGATCGTATTAATAGAATCTAGGCATTGACATCAACCAATAGGAAATGAATGGCTACGGCGTTTCCTGTAAGGAATGACATCCTTTATTGAAATAGTCTGATAGGCGACAGTAAACGTGTTTTGACAGTAAAATTATCAGCTGAGATTAACTTCAATAAAATGCATGTATAAACATAACTAACGCAAATAATCTTATTACATTTAATGCTATTATATATATATATATATAAAGAAATACATTCCTTGTATTAAAGCATAAACATTGGTGAAAAAATGTAAAATAAACAATTCTAAAAAAATATATTGCGATTCATTCTTGCCGACAAAGTCATAGGACACGTATGGCGTCTTATTCACTTAGGAAAATCGTATTTCTGATGGTTTCGCTTATTGAGTGAATAGGAAAGGGGACAGAAGTCCGAATCACAAAGGTCGGTCAAAAAAGTCCGAACATATACCTACACCGAAAATTGTTTTCATGTAGCCTCCATTGGAAATGCACATGATTTTCAACCAATAACCCATTCCATGAAGTTCTTCACAATGACTTTTCAAATACATTTCCTAATTATTCCTGTCTTGTTATTATTTTCAATTGAGGTTTACTTTAGACAAAGCTTGAAACACATGTTTGAAATTATCCAAGTAATATCAAATCATTTTTATTTCCCATTTGATGTACATAAAAATAAAACTAAAGCCATAAAATGCTAAATTTCGGTTGCGTTGTTACGTCACGTAGTGTTTTACTTCTAGTAGCATTTATTAGTGACTATATTCATAACAATTCATTTGAAAAGAAAGTAATTCATGTTTGCTTTCTTCTATTGGTTTCATTGCCATATTATGAAGTTTATAATAAGTTTGAAACGAAAAGAGTAACCACGAGCCCAAAATCTGCTTGTCGCGTCACCTGAAATGGGTTAAATAACATAATATTTACATATGAAATAACATATTAATTGATAATATTTACACGGATATTCATCTGAATTTCAAGAATAGAAAAAATACCTCTACCAAACTTTTCCAGAATTTAGTTCAGGTACCATAGATAAAGACTGCATACCAGGTATACCTAGGTAAGTCCACAGTTTTTGGTATAAGGAGATATCATATTGGATTTTTTTTAATAAAATTTACAAAATTTCGCAAGATTTTCAAAATTAATTTTTTTAAGAAAAGGAAAAAATACCTCCACCCATCTTTTCCAGTATTTAGTGCAGATATCATAGATAAAGACTGCATACCAGGTATACCTAGGTAAGTCCACAGTTTTTGGTATAAGGAGATATCATATTGGAATTTTTTTGAATAAAATTAACAAAATTTCGCAAGATTTTCAAAATTAATTTTCTCAAGAATAGGAAAAAATACCTCCACCAAACTTTCCCAGTATTTAGTGCAGATATCATAGATAAAGACTGCATACCAGGTCTACCTGGGTAATTCCACAGTTTTTGGTATAAGGAGATGTCATATTGGAATTTTTGAATAAAATTAACAAAATTTCGCAAGATTTTCAAAATTAATTTTCTCAAGAATAGGAAAAAATACCTCTACTAAACTTTTCCAGTATTTAGTGCAGATATCATAGATAAAGACTGCATACCAGGTATACCTGGGTAAGTCCACAGTTTTTGGTATATGGAGATATCATATTGGAATTTTTTTGAATAAAATTAAAATTTCGCAAGGTTTTTAAAATTAATTTTCTTAAGAATAGGAAAAAATACCTCCATCAAACTTTTCCAGTATTTAGTGCAGATATCATAGATAAAGACTGCATACCAGGTACGCCTGGGTAAGTCCACAGTTTTTGGTATAAGGAGATTTCATATTGGAATTTTTTGAATAAAATTAACAAAATTTCGCAAGATTTTCAAAATTAATTTTCTCAAGAATAGGAAAAAATACCTCCACCAAACTTTTCCAGTATTTAGTGCAGATATTATAGATAAAGACTGCATACCAGGTATACCTGGGTAAGTCCACAGCTTTTGGTATAAGGAGATATCATATTGGAATTTTTTGAATAAAATTAACAAAATTTCGTGAAATGTTCAAAATTAATTTTCTCAAGAATAGAAAAAAAAATACCTCTACCAAACTTTTCCAGTATTTAGTGCAGATATCATAGATAAAGACTGCATACCAGGTACGCCTGGGTAAGTCCACAGTTTTTGGTATAAGGAGATTTCATATTGGAATTTTTTGAATAAAATTAACAAAATTTCGCAAGATTTTCAAAATTAATTTTCTCAAGAATAGGAAAAAATACCTCCACCAAACTTTTCCAGTATTTAGTGCAGATATTATAGATAAAGACTGCATACCAGGTATACCTGGGTAAGTCCACAGCTTTTGGTATAAGGAGATATCATATTGGAATTTTTTGAATAAAATTAACAAAATTTCGTGAAATGTTCAAAATTAATTTTCTCAAGAATAGAAAAAAAAAATACCTCTACCAAACTTTTCCAGTATTTAGTGCAGATATCATAGATAAAGACTGCATACCAGGTACGCCTGGGTAAGTCCACAGTTTTTGGTATAAGGAGATTTCATATTGGAATTTTTTGAATAAAATTAACAAAATTTCGCAAGGTTTTTAAAATTAATTTTCTTAAGAATAGGAAAAAATACCTCCATCAAACTTTTCCAGTATTTAGTGCAGATATCATAGATAAAGACTGCATACCAGGTCTACCTGGGTAATTCCACAGTTTTTGGTATAAGGAGATGTCATATTGGAATTTTTGAATAAAATTAACAAAATTTCGCAAGATTTTCAAAATTAATTTTCTCAAGAATAGGAAAAAATACCTCTACTAAACTTTTCCAGTATTTAGTGCAGATATCATAGATAAAGACTGCATACCAGGTATACCTGGGTAAGTCCACAGTTTTTGGTATATGGAGATATCATATTGGAATTTTTTTGAATAAAATTAAAATTTCGCAAGGTTTTTAAAATTAATTTTCTTAAGAATAGGAAAAAATACCTCCATCAAACTTTTCCAGTATTTAGTGCAGATATTATAGATAAAGACTGCATACCAGGTATACCTGGGTAAGTCCACAGTTTTTGGTATAAGGAGATATCATATTGGAATTTTTTGAATAAAATTAACAAAATTTCGTGAAATGTTCAAAATTAATTTTCTCAAGAATAGAAAAAAAATACCTCTACCAAACTTTTCCAGTATTTAGTGCAGATATCATAGATAAAGACTGCATACCAGGTATACCTGGGTAAGTCCACAGTTTTTGGTATAAGGAGATTTCATATTGGAATTTTTTTGAATAAAATTAAAATTTCGCAAGGTTTTTAAAATTAATTTTCTCAAGAATAGGAAAAAATACCTCCACCAAACTTTTCCAGTATTTCGTGCAGATATTATAGATAAAGACTGCATACCAGGTATACCTGGGTAAGTCCACAGTTTTTGGTATAAGGAGATATCATATTGGAATTTTTTTGAATAAAATTAAAATTTCGCAAGGTTTTTAAAATTAATTTTCTCAAGAATAGGAAAAATACCTCCATCAAACTTTTCCAGTATTTAGTGCAGATATTATAGATAAAGACTGCATACCAGGTATATCATAGATAAAGACTGCATACCAGGTATACCTGGGTAAGTCCACAGTTTTTGGTATAAGGAGATTTCATATTGGAATTTTTTTGAATAAAATTAAAATTTCGCAAGGTTTTTAAAATTAATTTTCTCAAGAATAGGAAAAAATACCTCCATCAAACTTTTCCAGTATTTAGTGCAGATATTATAGATAAAGACTGCATACCAGGTATACCTGGGTAATTCCACAGCTTTTGGTATAAGGAGATATCATATTGGAATTTTTTGAATAAAATTAACAAAATTTCGTGAAATGTTCAAAATTAATTTTCTCAAGAATAGAAAAAAAATACCTCTACCAAACTTTTCCAGTATTTAGTGCAGATATCATAGATAGAGACTGCATACCAGGTACGCCTGGGTAAGTCCACAGTTTTTGGTATAAGGAGATTTCATATTGGAATTTTTTGAATAAAATTAACAAAATTTCGCAAGATTTTCAAAATTAATTTTCTCAAGAATAGGAAAAAATACCTCCACCAAACTTTTCCAGTATTTAGTGCAGATATTATAGATGAAGACTGCATACCAGGTATACCTGGGTAAGTCCACAGCTTTTGGTATAAGGAGATATCATATTGGAATTTTTTGAATAAAATTAACAAAATTTCGTGAAATGTTCAAAATTAATTTTCTCAAGAATAGGAAAAAATACCTCCACCAAATTTTTCCAGTATTTAGTGCAGATATCATAGATAAAGACTGCATACCAGGTATGCCTGGGTTAGTCCACAGTTTTTGGTATAAGGAGATTTCATATTGGAATTTTTTGAATAAAATTAACAAAATTTCGCAAGATTTTC